ATCACACTTTTCTGAACTGGTAGAAACCAAAGTTTCAGAAAAGGTGTTTTCTACTCATTTCTCCACACTACTCACTGCTAAGTAAAGCTCCAAGATCTAGTGAAAGACAAAAGTTAAGGAGAAGGGTGAAAGCAGAAAAGAGAAAGTCATATGGTTTGGGACCAGCATTAAAGCTGTGCAGTGTGACTGATGTGACCCAGGAATGCTGCTTCCAGCTCCCAGTACTGACAGGCAGTGGCTCCTCCCTGAGGGAAGTGACTCCTGCTCAGAGACAGCAGGGAGCCTGACAGGGTGAAGCTCCCCTGTTAGCACAGAGCAGCCAGAGGAGGCGCCTCTCCTGCTCCCCACCTGAGGCACAGGGCAGGGCACCAAGTGGAGGGGGAGCAGCAAAGGGACCCTAAGACTGAGTGTGCTCAAGCCAGGAACCTCTTGACCCTGGAGCATGGGTCTCATGCCCCCCACCAGGGACACTGGGCAAAATGATGGCTATATGCCACATTCAATTAATTCAGCAGTAAATCTAACAAGCTACAGATAAATGCAATATTGGGGGATGACAGCAAAAGATACTAGAGAGAGAGAGCAAAGAAAAGCATGTTTTTCAAATCCATGTGTGTGTATGATGTCAAGTGTATAGAGCTTAGTAAGAAGCAGGGAGAGCTGTAATTGTAGTAGTCAAGACAGTGGGTAAGTAAGCAGCAGGGAGGGATGAGAGAGGGAAGGAGGGGCCAGAAGGCACTGGGCCCTTCTGTTTCATGACTGATTTGGAGGCAAGATTCTACTCACTAGCTGATAAATCTGCGCTTTTTTCTGATGCCTAATTCCTTAATGTATATTATGTTTAAAATTGCTAAGTTAAAGTTAGAAGCAAAAAAAAAAAATTACAGAAACTTTTTCCAGGAAAAGCAACTCAACCTTATCACGTGTGCATCAATGGTGGAAAAATAAAAATAAAATAGACAGTGAAACATTATGCAGACTTTATAATAAAGAAACCACAAATACATACAAAACCATGATGTTCTGTAAATGCATATTGACTAAGCAAACTTTTTGAACTTCAGAATCTTACCATTTCTTGTTTGTGATCTATGTAGAGCAGACTGGAGTTCATAGTCGCACAGGCCGTCACGCTCTCGTTCCAAGTTTTTTTTTCATGACTGGTAAAATAGCAGTTGTTGGAGTAGGTGAACGCCCCCTTTGGACAAGGGCCACAATGATATGCCAAGGAAAAATTAGCTGTTTAAAAAAGTTTGAATTATAATATTAAAATATGTAATAAAATGATTCATTGACTTAACATATGTTTGTATCATAGTTTGCTTCTCATATTGGCACATGTAATACAAGACCTACTCACACACACTCACAGAGAAGGGTCAGCTCCTCATTCAGAATTTATGTTCCATGTATTGGGATATTGCAAACAACAATACTTATTTGCATGCCTGAAAGTCATTCTTTGTATATTAAAATTATTTATCCCTTGTAACACAGCACTAGTCGTAGAACATTTGACTCAACTAACCTAAGTGGGCATGCTGATTATAAATGATTATTTCTTCAGGTTGCTGTATATAAGAACATTCTCCTATTAAAATCGTTCATGAAAATTTATTGTTTAGTTTAGTAATTTTAGCCTCTTTCCAAAATAATTATCATTTTGACTAGTTTAGCATATAGATAGTATAGAAATTGTACTAACATTTGCATTTTGAAAATCATTGTGTACCTTCTGTTGTTGATGGGGAGCTATTTTCTTCTTCCACCTTATGAGAGCTAGGAAAAAAATTAAAATTTCTTATAAAAATTAAAATTGATTTTAGTAAGTCATAATAATGAGTTTCTAATTTATAAATTTATACATTGGTTAGGTTTATAATAAGCTAGAATACAACAGATTTTACCAACTGGATGAATAAAGGAATGAGACATGTAAAATCATTTTCAACATTTATTGGCCCAAACTTCAAAATCTCCTATAATACTTGTTTTAACAAATCTCAAGAATGAATCTGTATTTCTCAATAATGCCTTTCACTCTCCAAAAACATGCCTTCGAGGTATAAAATCTGAATATATAACCTACTCTTTACATTCTTTATATCGAACTTTAGAAAAATTAGAATCATCATGCACCATTTAGCCTAAAAAATAGCAATAATAAGAGAGTTATTATCTTAATATTCTGAATTATTTAGAGGAACTGACAGTCATTAAGTGAAAAATTCCTTTAAAATGCTTCCAAAATTCACCTACAGTACACTGCTACAATAATGCATATTAATATAAGGCAGGTGAGTCCCAGCAACCCAGCAATGCACTTCTCTGGGGGTCCTGGAGAGCCTGCAGGGAGAGAGACGGAAACGATGAGAAAGGACAGACGGACACAGCTGTTCAGTTTACAGACAAGAGAATCTACATGCAGAGTGAGTCACATATATGAACTTGTATCGGAGACCTCGAGCTCCCTTCATGGTCTCCCTCTCACAATATATCACTGTATTCTCAGTAAACACAATACTCCAAGATTGCTGGTCAGAGACTACAAGTTATTGCAAACTTTGGATCCAATTAGTAGAGTTTCTTGTTACACTACCCATTTTCACCTCAACTATGATTCTCACAAATGTAAAATATGTGAACTCACTCCCCACCACTTCCACACACAACCCAGTCACCTAGCTGAGCGAGTTTTACCTTGGCCCTGGTATTTCTTGCCATTCCCTTGAAGATCCTGAGAAATGTTTTGAAGATTTAAATCTGCATAGGTGATGTCCTCCTGGGGTACTGAAATGGAGATTTTAGTGCTCTTCGGTTTTGCTTGCTGTCTTTTTGATTTCCTACCCAGATTCAGATCTGCATAGGTTACTTCTTGGCTATTCATTCCTACAACTAAATCAGGGACTGTGCTCTAGGAGGGTGAACTTCAGAATGAATGTTTAGAGCAATGACATCCCTAGCACTGAAAACTGGGCGGGGTGAAAGGTGTCACTGTTCATTTCACAGCTGAAGTTCTAAAGGTCTGTTCTTCATTCTTTAAAGCATCAAACAAGTATCTCACAACAGAATATCCTTTCTTTGATTTAGGTAGTCTTCAGCTTACAATACATGTAAGTTGGGGTAATGAAAAGTGATAAATTAATTAGGAATAAAAAAGTTCATGAATAGTAAATAACATCCTTCATTTAAAGTCAAATTCAGCAGAAATGTTTTAGCATGACAAAACCACTATTAGAATCTAAAATGAATAATTTGAAAAAAACAGACTCACCTATATTTATCAGTATTTTTAAATCCAGTTATTTGTCACGGTGCTATAAGAATGGGGAAATAAGAAAGGTGGCATGCAGTAGCATATATGCTAATAAGCATAGTTTCTTGCACTAAATTATATTTCTTGTTTGACTTATATTTACTTATTAATAGGATTATCAGTCTTTTGTTTTGAATAGTTGAGTTCTGAGAAAAAATTAAAAATTGAAAGAAGTATTTTGTCTTTGAATGTTACATGACAATCTAAACTTACCCAAAATTTAAACAATGTTGAATATTAAAGGGAAAATTTAAGTTCCTATTTTACAAAAGTAATGATTTAATGATATCTATAAAATGATAAATAAAAGGGTAAAACATTTTCAAAACAACACTTTTTCAAACTTCCAGTAAATTCCTATGATCATTAAAGTCAGGAAAGTCTCCTTAGTTTTGTAAGTACTTGCAGTGATGCAGGTAATTTAATGTAATAAATTCAGTCAATGTACTCTCTAGTCAGAGAGACACAGAATTTTTCTGGTTTTGAGACTTAAAATGTGTGACTTTAAAAGCTGCTAGGTGTCTGCAATATCACCTTCTAATCTAAAATGCAAAAATATGTACTACATAATGCATGCTAACACTTAGCTCTCAGCCTGACAATTAAAAGCTCTCAAAAAATATTATTCAGTCACAATTTCCATGCCACCATTTGCTAATTCATGACAGGTAGACATGTAAAATAATTAAGTAGCAGCCTTTAATCAGTATGGAACATACTGATTTTTGTTTGATTTTTAAGCCTATTTTTTGATGATCTATTACTTTAGATTAGTATTGTATGGAAGCTGCCTCATCTTAATTTTTATTGAAAATCAAGCTGCATTCAGCTTGATTATAATAAATGTATAATAAATTGTGCCTTGTCTTCATCAGTCAATGAATTCTTTTTTAGTATTCTATCAAAATAGAAATTAATCATTCAAAGAAATATCCTGTACTGGTTCTGAAATCCAGAATACTTAATCATGTTTGCAGACTTCACTTTAAATTATATTGTGTTTCTAACCAAAATACCATCTGTATATACACTTGATTTCTTACAGGCAATAACTTAAATACTTTTAAAAATCGTTCAAAACTTTTCATATTTTATGGATTTCTTTTTACCCTAAATTATTCAAATAAAAACACCAGTGTTCTAATTTGATTTTCTTGTACATAAGTTGTATACCAGCTGCATCACATCTTGCATTTGTTATCCCCCACCAAATGCTGGGGGCAGCAGGGAGACAAGAGAGCGGAGACACACACATCTGCTAGTCACAAAGTGCACTATGACCAGGTTATTCTCCTAAAGGCTTTCTGCTGTGGCTAGGAAATAAAGGAAGAATCTGAAAAGATAAATCCAGGAGGAGGGTAAACAATACCTGTGGTATTCACAGATGGTTTGTGAAGGCTCAGAGTGTAGCAAGAGTGTAAAAAGTAAATTTTGCATCAATGTGTCATAATAAGGTTTGAACAGGAAATTCTCACTGGTTATTTTGAAGTCAGTGTACAGTATCACTTACCTCCAGATTATAGGAGATTTGCTTCCAGCTGAAAGGCCAAATGAATGGTTAGTCCATTTTCAAAGGCTCCTGGGATATTGCTTTCATATTCTGCAAGAGATGGGCAGGCTAGACCATTAAGACTATGAACTAAGCCACAAACACTAGATGCTTAGAGCATCTTCACTTTTATTTTTAGATATAGGTTGCTGATTCTTGGCATTACTTACTTCTTTACCTCACATCCATATCATTTCATAACATTTTTATTGTATGAAAAAAACCTCTAAAAGTATTAAACTAATCATCAACAGATATTTAGAAGTATTTGTCACTAATTATCCTGAGGAATTACCACATTTTCAACTCTATTTGCTTGACACAATGTCATTATTTCTAAATTAGTGAGATATTCAATTTTATTTTTGTACAAGTAGCTGTATGATTTATTTGTGCATGTATTTCAATTAATCCATTCTAAATTTATATTAGAGAATATGAACTCATGGCATAACATACATAGTTACATACTTGTTTTATCCATATATATAAGTAAATAATATAGGTATATATATTATACTTATATACTCATATGTTTATAAAAATATGTAAATTTATATATAAAGTCAAATCCTGTTGTTTACTTTAACTTCAAAACCAAATACTGAATGGAACCACAAACTTGGAAATTGTTATTTAAAAAGAAAACTATTAATAACGTTCTTATTTCCAGTTTATGTTTTCTACTTATAAGTGTTGAATATTTTTAATATACTGTGAAAATACTATATTGTATATTCCTGTATATAATTTATGAACTATATACAGTGTTATAAGTCAATGGTAAACTCAAATAGTGTTAAGAACAAAAGTAATAATAAATAAAATGTATGTCAATTACACAATTATTTAAGAATATGTTATGTTTTGGCTGTTCAAAATATTTTAACTTTACATCTTTACTGATTGTCCTTTAGTTATAATCATTCAGTACATATATTACTGAGAATTACAGTGCATAATGAAAAAAATATTTATTAAAATAATTCATGATCTTAATTTTCCAATGTGAACTGAATGGTACAAAGCTCTTTTGCATGCAAAATACAAAATCTGGAGGACACAAAAAGAAAAAAATGCTTAATCCACCTGTTCTGCTCCCCACTCTGTCCCTGATGAATCCTCTCACCCCTGGTTCTTCTGTACCAAAAAGAAAGAAAGGAAGAAGGAAGGTGGGAGGAAGGGAGGGAGGGAGGAAGGGAGGCAGGAAAGAAGGAAGGAA